TTAGAGAAGCTAGAATGTGCTGACGTGTATTAAAGGGATCTGAGTTCACATAGCCTTAACAGTAATCAGTAACAAGTCCAATTATGCTTTTCATGTTATAAATCTTACATGTTCGTAAAAGTCTATAACTCTTAAACCTGTTCTATAACATCCTTTAATGCTGTATGGCAGGGCTTCTCAAAGTGTTGGTCACATAACTTTCAGCAAAACCAAAAGTATTCTGGATATGCAGTGGATTCTAGGGTGAAAATTGACTCAAAACTAGTTTGACAACACTACACATAGAGTATGGCTGTGACTTGAGTCTTTTAGTTCGACAGTATTTTAAGTGGCCATATGCTGCAAAGGCATATGGCCTTTGCATTGAACCATTCCCTTATATATTCACAAATATCCCTGCCTTCTCTAGGATTTGAAGACCCAATGCTAAGACATCCAGCTATCCTACCGCAATGCCAAAAGGGATGCATTCCCACTGACTAGCGTTTTAAAACAGAGATGGCTGTAGCTGACTCCCTTATGCCACGGAAGTAGAATTTTTGAGTAAATTGTGCATGCTCTGTTTCTTTTTTATCAACAATAAGAGACATTAAACTTACTGTATTTTTTTTTTTTTTTTTTTTTTTTGTACCAGCAGTTATTTTGAATACCTATTCATTGTCTGTTTTTTTTTGGGGGGGGGAAGTCAGCAATCTTAATCTTTTTCACTATACTTACGCTAGGAAAAAAAGTTTCTAGAATGTTTAGGATATCTTCAATCTCTCTGCTCTGTAGAAGGGGAATATAAAAAAAGAATATTTTTGTTTTCCAGTTGTTCTGCTCCTGTTGTTTGCTACAATATTATCCTTGTTCTGCAACTCTTATTCAGGGTGATATTGTATCTTACTTCGTAATAATTTTGTAATTTTTTGCATTGTACAGCTAATTTATGGAAAGCTATAAGCAAGTTCTGTCTTGTTTTAAGCAAAATGTGGTTTTGAAATGAAATAATTTATTATATTTACTTGAAATATACAGAAATAAATGATGACATGTATATTTAAGGCCCAAAAATCATGCTATATTTTTTAAACCTGTTTTCCATTTAATCTTGGGGGGGGGGTATTTGTAGTCATCAGTGTATGCATTTAAGTTGTATATATTTGGCTAGTAATAATTAATCAAATGCTTGCTAGTTTCCTATGAAGAAAATATTCACAAGCATAACCGTATTTGTTGATAAATATGATAAATAAGGTTATATTTGAATTAAGTTAAATAATAAAATATTTGAAATGTAATATCTGTTGTTTTCCAGCATGTTTTTAATACAAAAAAACTGTCATTCAGAATTTGGTAAGAGTTAAAGATATGTAAAATAATCAAATAGTTAGAATAAGCCTGAATTGGATAGGGAACTTATTGTTACAGCTGCAGTCATTTAAATAGCACCAAAATTATTAATCTCCAGTGTAGAAAATGGCTGGCAGTACTTCATTTACCATTTAAAATTTTGCAACCAGTAAATGGCAGTCAATTTAAAATATGTAAACACAGAAGTAAATCAGCTGAATATTTCTGTATCATGCTTTAGAATTTCATGTATCTAAGTCAATAGGTGTAGATAGTTGAAACTGAATGCTCTTTATTTTGTGTTTTGTTTTTAAAATGAAAAGCCTGAAGCCACCAGAGCAAATGAAGTCTGACAGAAATATTTCTTTCACCTGGAAAAGATCATTTTGAATTTATGAAGTAGCAAGTAGCTTACATAATAATAAAAAATAAATAAATAAAAATAAAATAAAAAAAAATAAAAAAAAAGAGTTAATACTTTTCTTTGTGTAACTGGAATTTTTAGTCTTGAAATGTGTAATACATTTCATGCAGAAGATAGTAAAATACATAAATTAGATGAAATTAACATGAAAATTACAGAATGCTGTATACCTAAGAACATGAAAGACATTTATTCTACATATGAAAGACATTTATTCTTCATATGAAAGACATTTATTCTTTACCGGAAATCGAACATGTTAGAAACCATAAATGATTATGTAACTACCTCCGAAACAAAGCTAGAAAACAATTAATTAATTGCTTGTACAATGAACACACAATTTAATAAAAGGTAAAATTGTTTGTGGTATTACAGATGATGTAGTGTGAGCAAGATTATTACATGAAACAAAAATAATATGAGAAAAAGTTCTTGATATAACTAGCTCCGTAGAGATAATTGTGCATCACAGGATTTCATAATAAAGATTAATTTTATATAATAAACAATGAGTATACTTTTGTAAACGTGTTACCAAAGAAATTAAATAAACATAATAAGAGTGCAACTAAAAAGTAAATATTGAGAGACAAAGAGTCAAAATTTTATTTTAAATAACAAATATTTCACAAAAGTGTCATGCATATGGAAAAAATCTGTCATAAGTGTGAAAAGCAAATTATCTTGGGAATGATCGTAAAAACTATAAAATAAAATTTAAATAAAAAATACAAGCTTTCAATGTAAACAAAACGAGAGAAACAAGTTACTAAATCATCACTCAGAAGAAGAATTAAGAGTTTTAAGTAGGAGCATTAAGCATTAGTTTGGATAATAAATGAGAAATGGATTGATAATGTAAAAAAAAAATAAAATCAATTTCATTTCCACTGAAATATCATGGTAATGTGCTATATACTTATAAACGTAAGTGATGCCTGACATTCAGACATAGAAGTCTGAAATTAAAAGTTTAGTTACATTCTCTGTAAAAAATGGATGCTATTGGAAAATTTATACTAACTGCTGATATGGGAAAAAATAATTATACTGTAGAGTTCTGAGTTAGAGACAAAGAAATACTTTCTGTTAGTATTAAAATTATGTCTGTAGTTAGGTTTGATATAAATAGTAATGAATGTTTATACCTAAGACAAAGATAGAGATATATTTGAAGAATAAGACTGTTTAAAAAAGTAGAAGCCTTTTAAAATAAGAGGCAGTACTGGTAATTATCTATAAGAGATAAAGTGAAGAAAAAGGCCACAGAGAATTACTGAGTGCATTCTCAGTAAAATTCAGTGGTCAAACCTAATAAAATAGGAATATATTTAGAATCAAGAGATTTCAATAAAGCTATACAGTGAGAACAATATCCTGTGTTAATTATAGATGAAGCTTTAACTAGAATGTCAGAAGCAAAAATATTTTCTGTGTAGGTTTCATTATTATAGCAATAAATATATATATAAAAGATAAAAAAATATGTAAACCCCGTAATGCTGATGACATAACTAATTTGAAATCTAAACTTTCGAGAAGTGAAACCTTTTTGACTTAAATCAAAACCTCTTCTTGGCGAGCCTCCGTATTGATAATTGTGCACTTTTTTTACCTTTAGTTCTCATGCTACTTTGCTCTACTTGCTTTGTCATTCTACTAACTATGCCATTATCTAAAATGTGATACTTTCTGTATAAATATATGGAGTGCATATTGTGCCCATGATCATGTGTAATGAAAGAGATGTTTTTGATATCCGCCAATAAAAGTTATATTCAATTCAGCCATCTACAAGTCATGTCTGTCTACACATCTTTCGAGTTCCATCTCTCTAACTATGCACTGAAGGCTAGCCATAGTTTGTCATCATTACTTGGGTTTGTTAAGAATAAAAAATTGAGCTAAATCGCCCAAGGATTTATCCAAAGCCTGTAATAACTAATACTGAAGTCTTGTTTTTGTATGAGTTTTATATCCTCCATGTGTGTGTGTACATTGTTTTAAATGAATCAATGATTCAATTAAGTCTCATAATGAAGTGTTGTTACTCTAATCAAATTAATGACCCAATAACATAAGCAAAGCAGGTAATATGACTTCATTGGTCCAATCTACTGCTCTTTTAGATACAGGAAAAAATAGCTACTGTAAATATATTCAAAATGAAAGGAAAAAATATGTTGTTACATTAATGTTGCAAACAGTAATGCATACATGTTCTTCTACAAAATAATCTAATAACATAACAGCATTCCATTGAAAATTATACAGTAGACCCTATAATTCTGAATGTAGTTATCACAATTTTTCTAATATATTAGTATGTTCCTCCAAGTTCCAAGCTTGTCTAGAAATCATTTTGAAAATGCGCTGCCCTAAGTTTAATTGGATGCAGATGGATAATGCTATTATTACTAACCTAAACTCATAATTTTGAAATGGAAAAAATTACACTTGATATTTCTGTAAATCACGTAAGTTTGTATTTTTAATTTTCATGAAAAACATATGCCGAAACCTCAGAGAAAAGTCAGCAGGATTCTTTTAAAGGTAATCCTCTTTCATAATTCATTTATATAAAAAGCAATCTAAGATTTCAATATTCATTGAAAGGTTCTCCTTATTCCAAGAAAAAAGATCAGGCACTGAAGAAAGAGTTCCATTTAATCCTATAATTAATAAAGGGATTTTTTTTAAATGCAGGTGTTATGTAACAATCATGATGTCCATTCAAAAATTAATAATTATACTGTACCTTTAATATCTTAAATTCTTGCATCAAAAATTTAAAAGATTCATTCACTTTAAATTACCTTTTTTTTTTTTTGCAGTTTAATAAATATGATAGTTTTAAGTTTAGAGAAAATTTATTTTGTAGAAAAACTGTGTATTTTGATGAAAATAGACATGGAATTCATTTATCTAAAGATGAAATAATACTGTATGCTCTAAGCTGGCTGGACATGTGCTATTAAACAGCTTTAAAAAAAAAGTTGGATTGCAATAATCTCTGAGTCAATTAGTAGTTTCCATCTGTTGTGATAAACAGAAATAAAAAAAGCAAGAAATTATAAGTTGCAGTGTTTAAAAATTGTAAAAAAAATTTAAATGAGAAATGATTAATTTTAGTTTATAAGTGGATTTTTATGTCATGGAAATAATAAATTTTATGTCAGAAAGCAAAAATTTTAGTTGATCACCAGCATAATGTATTTTTTTTAGTATGATCTCGGGCAAATTTGTATCAGTTGAATTTATTATTAAAGAACAAACATTTTATCAAAGCAAACAGCGTGGATTCAATGAATGATTTTTTGCATTGTATAATTAAACTTAATTTTCACATTACATAAAAATGAAAATGTGTATGTAATACAACATAAATTAATATAGTACTCAATATTTTTTGTATGATTTTCAGACGAAATTTCTGAATCCATTTAAAAGTACAAAAATAATTTGTTTCAGAAATAAACATTTTCAGTAACGCAGGTAGATTTATTATCATTTAAAACATTTTTAAAATCAAATTTCCATTCATCAAAAATAGCATACATGTATATATATATAATATAATATAATTCATTTTCTAAAATAACACTCTAATATACATTTCAGTACTATAGAGTACTGTTATATTATGACATATTGTTTGACATTTATTCCTTTATAATCTAACAACCTGGTTGGTTAATGAATTTTTTTTTTGATCTCTTAATGAATCACGTCATTCATATATTTAAAAATGTGACTACAAGCTACAATATTTTCTAGCAGTTTAATTTTATTTTATTCAGTGCTTATCATGTGCAGTTTTAAAGCTATTATTTTATTCAGAAACTTATATATTTATTTTTAAATGCACATCAAAGTATTGATTTATAAATAAGCTTTAAGTATTTTAAAATAGAAAAAATTTTAAATAAAATTACATTGCTTTCAAAAATAATAAAAATTATACTAATTCTTAGTACCGTACAAAAATAGAGTAAATAATTAATAATCCATATAACATACCAGACATTAAGCCTTTAAATTTCATTACACAGAAGAAAAATTAATATTTTTTTTTTCATTTAAAAATATTCAAATAAAATAGTATTCAGGAAGATCATTTCTAGTAGGAAAACTTTTTTGAGTGCCTTGCTTTAAAACACTCAGAGTTGCTATTTCACATGAATGTTCAACTGCTTCCTTAATACTCATTTTTGGATGGTAAGCCAAAAAATATACAAAACTACCCATAAATGCATCTCCTGCACCCTAAAAACAAACAAACAAAAAAGAACCTTAAAAGCATGATACAATAAAAGGCAGCATACATATATAGTTTAAAATCACTTCTAATAGCTACAAATTGAGTATAATAGTAGTTAAAATATAGGATATTTGTGAAAGGTGGCCACAGGCTTTATTTCCCTAGTAATTGACCCCAGACATGTATTTGTTCTAAAATGTCATTATACGCAGTAGGATTCAAAAGTTCCGGGACTGAGTCTATAACGTAAAAAATATTATGAATTAAATTGTAGAAACACATCCTCCTTCCAAGTGCAACAACACAGTTTTGCCAGCACCTGTAAAGTTCATCGAAGCATGTCTGGAATCTATGTTTGGCTATATCCTTTAATTCAGCCTGTGATGCACATTTAACTTCATCTGAAGATTGAAATCGACGACCCTACAAGCGTCTTGCCAGTTCAGGAAATAGAAAGAAATTGCAGGGTGCGAGATCAGGTGAGTAAGGAGGATGAGGCAAAACAGTTGTTTTCATAAGAAAATCATTAATGAGTAGGAATTGGTGAGCAGGAGCATTGTCATGCAACAGGACCCATGACGGCTCAGCCCACATTTTTGGTCTCTTCTTCCGGATCGACTCGCACAAATGATGTAGGATTTAGACGTACATTTCTTTGTTCAGAGTGCATCCTTCAGGGATAAATTCCAGATGCACAATGCCCTGGATTTTGAAGAATATCTCTAGTATGACTTTTCTCTTTAGAGCGGAGTTTGTGCTTCCGTGGAGATTTCCACATTGCTGATGCTCTCTTGGTTTGCAGGTCGTACAAGAAACACCATTTCTCGTCTCCAGTAGGAAAACTTTTAAGTAAGGATAAGTAAGGATCTTTGTCAACAGCCGAGATTAAATCTCCCGCCGTCCATTCGAATTGCCTTTTGGTCTACGTTTAACATGCAGGGAACGATGTGTTGACACACCCTATGCATGTTAAGATCCTTAGTCAGTATCCGCTGACATGTGGCCTCTGATATCTCAATTTATTCTGCTATTTGGCAAATTGTTTGCTGCCTGTTTGCATGTACAGCTCAGATACCTTTGTGATGTTTTCATCGGTGTGCAAAGACACGGGACAGCCACAGCATTTGTTGCTTTTGGTACTTTCCCTGCCTTCTCTGAAACGACGATACCACTCAAAAGCTTGCATTCCTCAATAACATTTTACTTCCGTACACATGCTTCAACATTTCGAAAGTCTACATAACACTCTTTCTCAAGCGAGCACAAAATTTGATATTCATTCTCTGCTCATCTGACGCCATTTATTTCTGTTGCTGGTTACTAAGTGCACCCACGTACAAAAAATGCTGTCGCCATGAGCTTTCAACCATGTGATTTGGGACAAATCTCTTTTAAAAAAGGGGAGAAGGTAGTAACACAAAAACGTTCTTGTAGTCGCACTACTGCAAAAAATTTTTACGTCTGGACTCAGTCATAGACTCAGTCTGGAAACTTTTGAATCCTACAACGTATAAGCTAAGGAAATTGTGTGAATCCAGATTCTGTACTGGGAGTAGAATGGTTATGAAGTTAGCAAAAATTTTATATGGTTCTTAATACAGCAAAAAAACCAATTAAAAAGGATGCTTTAATAAGCTAAATATTATAAGTTCTCTACCTTTACATCTTGATGATATTTAAATGATAGTAAGTTAAATTTGTCAATTTATATCAATTTATTTATATACAAATTTTATGTAAAAAATTTTAGATTTCTATCAAAAGTTTAATGATTATATATAAGATAAAAATTATGAAAAATAAAGGTCTGAAATTTGTATTCTTGAATTACTTTCATCAACCTTCATTATTTAAGTAAGCATTATTGTAAACAAAATTCCTATTTAAAGTATCCATCTTAAATACTAATGATGCATGCTTAGTACCTGTTTTAAACAAGATAACATTGCAAGCACTTCTCACTACACATACTGCCAATAAGCTATTGTCTGCTACAGTGTTGGTTAAAATCCACATAATTTCAGGATAACCTGTAACCATCAGTTTATATCAAATTCCGAAATTTTACTAGCAGCCTTTCTAAAAATTGCAGAATGCATTTCATAGGTTTAATTGTATTTTATTCCTTACTACAATTAAAAAAAAACTAAACACCAATCAAACACAATGACAAAGCACAAACAAATAAAAAATTTAGAAGATTTTACAACAAAACAATACTTCTAGTGTTTGAAGGCTAATGATGAGCTAAGTCAGCAGTAGTATGCAGAACAAAATGCATGTAATCCTACTTCTAGGAACTAATTGGAACCATCCAATAACTGATTCCAAGTATTTATGCTTATCTTGTGGCCAGCAAAGTGGTTGTGAGAATGTTAAGGACTTGCCACTGAATAAGACCTTCATTATGCTGACTAGTCACCCTTCAGATTCAAGCTTCAAATGTTTAAATGCAAGAAACTTCTATTAACCCTTTCCAAAACTAAACTGGACCTCAGCATTAGACAAGCTAATATATGCCACTGAATAACCACCTAGCTGTGTGAAGGCTGAATATTATTCCTTTCTAAAAATTTTGTCAGTTCTACGTCACAAACACAATTTCACATTTTCTAGAAATTATGTATGAAATTAAGAGTATGTCTACCTCTTGATGGAATACAGGAATGCACCTATGGATAGCATAGCTTTGCCTGCTGAAGCTTTGATGGATAGGTGCATTTGCACATTAATTTCTACTCTATCTGCTCAACTTATTCCTCACAATGTATGCAGCATTATCCAAAAATATTTAGAATTTAGACAGCAGTACTATCATAATTATGATCATCATTCTCATCTACTTCAATTACTCTATATTAATTAAACAATTTTCTTTTTGAATCAGCAGAAGTGGAGGAAAAGACAGATAACTGTCGTAGAATCATAGCTGTGGTCTAATGTCATTATACAGTACAAAGTCTTTAATCTGGACTTGTCGGGACTTCAACGATTCCGGATTATAGATCATCAATTTAAATCTGGTAAGATGGCATGCAGAAATTATAAAATTAAAAATATGAAACTGTAATTTATGAAATAAAGAGCAATAATGATCTAAAGGGTATCAAAATTTACAAAAAAAAGCTTAATATCTATTTGTTTACTTTATTAAACATTTCTTTCAATGCATGCATGCATAAAACATACATTACACATAGTCGAAATTAGAAAATTGCAACCAGAAAACTATTTGATGTGTATTTGTGATATTTATAATTAGGAGGAATTTGATTTAAATCATTTAAATCAATCAAAGAGTACATACATTAGAGATGAATTATAACTACATTTAGTAAGGAATTATAAGCTGAATAAAATAAAAAACATCTGCCCTGAAGATGAGGATAGTGCTGACAAATCAACTTCCAGTTCACTGCGTGCCGCGATGTACTTTTTAACTAAAGTAAAAGAATAAGAATGAAAAAGCAGCACATGACGTCACAAGATTTTTATAAAATCATTGGTACATCAGCTCAAATGACCTCTGGCATCACCACAAATTGAGTCTTTCACTACTTCTGTAACTTAAGGTCTATAATTTGATTATTGATGGTTTTATTATACATATAAATTTGACAAAAATCTTAAAACCATACTGCTAATTTTACTGTTTAAATCACCATTTCTACTTTTAATTAATTCTCAGAAAATTTTAGGCTTTTTTTTTTTTTTTTTTTGGTTAATTTAATTATGTTAGGTTCTTCCTCACATTTGGATTGTTAATGTGGTTGTACTAATTCTTCTCTTTACAGTTTATTTTTATTAATTCTTCTTCTTTCTGTCTTTTTTTTTTTTCTTTACTTTGTTTGTCAATGATTTTCAATAAATTTTCTGTTTTGAATGCTAAACTTATTTCACTTCATCATACTCTAATGACTAATAAAAGCTGCAATCTTTCGCTGTTAAATTTGTTTATATTGTTATTTAAATATCTGATGTTGCTTAAATGAAGTCTCTATAACTTCAACCAATCTTAAAAACCATATTGATATATATATATATATTTATTTATTTAATCTCAATAACATACACCTAAGCATATATGGTTAAAACATGAAATGTCTATAGGCTCATTCAACATTAGAGAAAATGATCATTTATTAATTTCACTTACTTTTACCAATTCAAGTTAAATGACTTTCTTTATAAATGATGTGCATTTTGCTTTGCATACATCAAAAATTTCAGATGACAAATTTGATGGCATTTCTTTCTTACAAATTCTGCTCAAAGGGTCAGAGACCATAATGGATGCATGGTAAGCAACATGCACAGAAAGTTTCAAAACCAAATTGATTTATGCTGTTCATTTTTTGAAATGCATTTTTAATATTATTTTGAGGCAGGACTTGTTTAGAATTTTGTGTATGTTTTAAAGAATGAGTATACTTCATTAAATTAGCTTTATATAGCCTCAGTTCACATTTATATAGCTTGCACTAAGCTTTCTGTTTTGCCTGTTTTCATTCTCCCTATCCAGGTCTCAAACATGGTTACCTTAAGTAAGCACTTTGAAAGATAGTGCTGAATTTTTTTCATGCTACTCATAATTCACACTTTAATTAAGACAGCAACTATAGCACAATATAACATTGTATAAACAAGAATATTCACAGATAACCAAAATATTAAACAAAGCAATCAATCAAATACATAGAAACACAAAATGAAATGTGCAAACATTTCACAAACACAAAATGTGCTGAAAACTGAGTGCACATGAAATAGTCACAGGCTATTCAGTTGACAACTTTTATTTAAGCCTAAATAGATTACTGCTTTTTATTATACATATTTTAATAATATACATTTTATACTATAATAAAAATTTTTGAAGTAGCACAAGAATATGATGGAGAGCAGAAAATTTGCAAAAATCAACAGACATAAATTTCAGTAACACAAATTCATCAAAAATAGCAAATTTGCAAAAAAAAATTTATCTGTCAACATTGATATTAAATATAGCTATTTTTCCATAAACAATTTATTTCTCTAGTAAACAATAAACGTGTGAAAAGAAGTGGTCTTAGGATTTGCTTCAAATATACAAAAATTAATGAAATAAAATTACATTTTAATGAGATGGATGTGCTCCTTTTTTATTCCCCCCCCCTTTGTATAACAAATTTGTTTTTGCTGCAATATTTAATTCTGTTAAGACATAAAGCATCTTCAGCATTTTTCTGCACTTAATTAATTTAATAAGAATATTAAATTGATTGAACTGAATTAATTTGAATTAACATTTGATTTAATAAGTGCTATAGCAAAATTAGCCATTTCTCATAAGTATGTAGTCTCAGAGGCAGAACATTTAATGCAACTTCTTCAAAAATTGAGTGAAATTCAGTTATAGTTCTAATCCAAAATTCAGTCAAGGAATTTTGTGGAAACTCAAGATTTGAGTCACTTGATAGTGGAACAAATTTCTTTTGGGTTTTATATGACAGATGATTAAACTCATTTATATCAATTGATTTAATTTTAAATTCACATATCTGAATTGGTCATGGCTGCAGCAGAGTAACAAGCTCTAACACTTCATCAATTTATTGACGTGCTGTCATTGTATTCATTACACATGCACAAAAATAGTCAACTAATGATGTTTTAGTAACTCCAAACTAGCAACCATAACGTTTATATGAAAATATATGAGACATAGTTATTGCGTTAGATTACATTTCAATGTTTAAATTTTGAGTTTATTGAAATCCACAGTTTTACTGTTTAGTTTAAGGAGTAACTACAAAACAAAAGTTGCTCATTTTAGTGAATGACAGTCTTGCATTAGATAGAGTAGCACTAGTTATTAAATTTAGAGATGGTCAGAAAATATAATTAAATAAAACTCTTTAAATTTTACACATAAAGATATGGAATAATTTTATATATTTTTTTTATTAAAGTGTAATAAGTTTTACTATACTCAAATACAGAGCATAGAAATAATTTTGGTAACATTTTCTAAACCAGAGTCCATGTTTGATGATTTCAATTACAGATGCATTCATTAAAATTAAACCTTACCTCATTTGTGAAAAACACCTTTTCTAAAATGGAAATAATGCCACAAATGAAGCTGTTATAACACAGTATTGAGAGATATAATAAAAAATATGATACTTCAAACTCTGCTCCTTGCAGAAAAGGGGAAAAAATTAAATCTAGATTTTGTCTTCTCTCCATCAAGGGAATTTATCAACTGACTAAACATAATGGACCATTGGAAATTGGATAACCATAACGAAATAAACATACACAAAATTACCATACATTCTCAGATGTGAAGACCAGTTTTAAATTGAATATTCTGTACATTCAGCTAAGACTTTAAAGGTAATGTAGCATTATAATGGGATAAATTATATATTTGAATATAATTTATCCCATTATAATATAATATAATATATTATTAATTAATTATATGATATATTATATATTTGAATGATCTTATAACAGATATGTATAACAGTGAATGTGATATTTTATCGATTACAGTCTTACTACATTACAAATTTTTTCAGATACCTCTGTCTTCTTTCTTGCTACTTATTTGGATGTGATGAAATCTTAAAAAAAATTCTTGACTGAAAAAGAAGTGAGTTTACATTTGTATGGTTTTGATTAGAAAATAAAATGTTTAATAAGAACTGAATATTAATATTCTGTATTTGCATTTTAATTTGTCTTGATGTGAATATATTGTATAATTAAAAATAAGAATTTTTGGTACTATTCGGTTTCAAGGGCCATAAAAAATCGCCGAACTACTGTTGATGCCAATGCTGCCAAAAATAATTGCGGCAACCCTAATAATTGCGGCAAGAAAGGAAGTATAATAGTAAATAACTATCTAAGATTGACGTTTTAATTTAGATGAAAGGTTAATTTCATATAATACTTTTTTATTATTATAATTTATATGAAAAAGGCTAAACATGACTGAATGGAAGCATAAGAGTAAATATTTCAGATCATTATAAAGTTAATCTTCGAATTATGGTAACTTGGTGAAAAATTTGGCGACCAACCCTGCTACAGCAACCTGCTAGTTTTTTTTTTTTTTTTTTTTTTTTTTTTGATGGCATTTTGTTTTCACGAATTAAAGACTTTTTTTTTTTTTTTTTTTTTTTTTTACCTCAACATTTTTTTCCAACAATCTGCTAGCCGAATTACGCTTATGCTAGAACTTTTACGGAACAAAAGTGCTTAATCATGACGAAGATTAGGTGCGAAATTGGGAGAAAGTGCAGAATCGCCCACTGCTTGCTGCGTTTTTAAGAACTGCACATACACGGTATCCATGTACACGTTGACCTATTTTCACTTAAAAAAAATCCCAGAATTGCACAAAAATGGCATTTTGCACACTCTTGACTTTATCCATGTACACTGCTAAAGTCCTAGCTAGTAACATTTGTTGCCTTACCAAAATGTTGCCAAACTATGTGTTACCATATTCTAAAGATTAGCCCATTATTATAATTTATATAAAAATTGCTAAATATAACTGAATGGATGCCTGCATCGCTATTTCGTTACCAAGTTATCGCTAAAGCATAATTTCATTTCGTTGGTTGTTCAAGCATAATTTTCTATAATGAATGATGCCTTTTCTTTGAAAATATTCTCGGTAAAGTGCAGAATCACTCACTTATTTGTTTGCCGCTTTTTACAAGGGTAAAAACAATTGGAATTTTGTCAATTTTCTTTTACTTTTTAAGTGAAAATAGGTCGATGTGTACATAGATAAAGCCATGGGTGTGCGCAGTGCCATTTTTGTGCAATTCTGGGAAAATAGGTCGATGTGCACATGGATACCGAGTATGTGCAATTCTTAAAAATGCGTCAAACAGTGGGTGATTCTGCACTTTACCCAAAATTCTATTGCCGACTTTTCGGCATGGGCAATTCCCAAATTGTTAAATTCATAGGATATTAAAAAAGGATTTAAAATCAAAAAAGGATTTAAAAATTAAAGTAGTATTTCAATGGCATCTTAAGAAATGTAGAACTATATAAACTTACTCAATCTGAAATCAGCGCGTACGCTAGATTTGGCGCGCTGTTAAATGGGCGCATTTGCTAGATTTGGCGGTTTTGCACATATATTTTTGCTGAAATTTTTTACGGTCCTCAAAACGGAATAGTACCGAATTTTATATTTAAGTCTGTTATTCTTTTTCGGCGATGTTTGTTTTGATGTCTGGTATTCTTATTTAGCCATGTTTTGATAAAGTGATTAATAATACCAAGCTCTTAAACTGATAAAATAAAATATTAAATTAACAAACATCTGAGGAAGAATTAATTTGGGCTTTAGTGAAATTGCAGATTATTTCATGTAGCTTTGTGCCATTATGTTAATAATGAATGTAATGAAAATAAATCTTGAGCCTATTTACATTTCCTAAAAATTATAAGCTTAAATTAACTGTTTTTATTTCATTATTAAATAGAATTAAAATTTCATATTTATAATTTATTTAAAAATTTCTGCTATAGCTATTAATAGCTTGTATTTTCTGCAAGATTGAGATCTGAAGTTTGGATAATATTGTTATGATATCGGTATAACAGGGAAATAGTTTTCTGATGAAATGCATTGTGTATAGATTTTATAATGCTGCATAAAAGTTGCAGCCTCATATTTTGTTTCCTATCATAGATCTTATGAGACTACCAGAAATCGAGATGATAAGATCATTGAATGTTGGTAATTCATTCTGGATTTCATGACAGTGACTGATTAAACTAACCCCATGGAATTAGCACCATCAGCTTTAGCATTTTCTTTGCATATAATTTAAATGTCAGCAAGTTTCCATTAATAATATGTCTTCTATAAAGATATGGTAATTCGTACTGTATTTCATGCCAGTGACTGAATAAATTAACTCCATGGAAATAGCACCATAAATTTTTGCATATTCTTTGCATATAATTGAAATGTCAGCAAGTTTCCTTTAATATGTCCTCTATAAAGAATACTATATTTTGAGAAATTTGAATTGCATGCATGTTTCTAGGTAGTATTTAAAAAAACCAATAGTCACCATTTTTCAACACTGTATATAAATCTAATATAAAATAATATTTATAAATATTTTATTATCAGTATTTATGAAACTGGGAAGGCAACAATAGAATGAAGTGGTCTAAAGACATTTTTTTAGTAAATTGTCTGAAGACTTTTTTTAAAGAAAAGCTGGAGCTATCATAATAAACAAAGTTTTAATATCACCATAAATTTTTCGCGTGAAAATACTAATTGCAAAATTAAATAACTGATTTACTTACAGTACTGTCAACAGCTTTAACATTTCTTGCTGGTACATGAGTATATGTATTTTCATTTTTGCGTCGAAACACTGCTCCTTTAGATCCAAGAGTGAGAATGACAGTAGAACAACCTTTTTTAAACAATGTTTCAATTGCTAAACTTGCATCTTCGATGGATTTCACAGGCACTTGTGCAGCATCTTCAGCCTTAAGCAAAAGATGCATAAATTAAATATATGAATGCATAAAGTTAACTGAAAAGAAAAATCTTTAAATAGTTTTTTAAACTGAAAAATATCATAAAAATATCAGTCATTTAACTGTTTGTCATCATCTCAAATACTGAAGCATTTCCATACAGAAAAGAGGAGGAACAGAAGAAGGAAAACTCTGTTCTCAATAAAATAAATTATATAAAAATAAATTATGAATCTATGTTTGTGCAGCATTTATCTTTTCTGAAATACAATAAGTATATCTGTTTATATGTAACATTTCTGAATAAAATTTTTTTTTAATGATTACCAGTTTCTGTACTAGTTTCTTCAGTTTCATTCTGAATAATTATGCTCTTAAACATAGAAAAGTAAAATGAGTGCAAAACAAAGCTATAAAACCTTATGCTTTGGACATTTCTTGTGAAGAATATATTTTGAAAAGGAATTAATGATCAGGAGCTGACAGATGAAATGAAAGCATATAAAGTCAAAAGTCGTTAATCCGGACTCGTCGGGACTTCGGCGATTCCAGATTATCGATTTTTCCGGATTATAGATCATCAGTTTAAATCTGGTAAGATGGCATGCAGAAATTATAAAATTAAAAATATGAAACCGTAATTTATGAAATAAAGAACAATTATTATCTAAAGGGTATCAAAATTTACAAAAAAAAAAAAAAAAAAAAAAAAAAAAAAAAAAAAGCTTAATATTTATTTGTTTACTTTATTAAACATTTCTTTCAATGTAAGTTGTTTAAGTTGCTTCATTTTTTATGTGATAATACATTCTCTTTAATTCTATAAACAGACATAATTTCTTGTTCAGTTACAAAGTTCCGCTGTTCAATTCCTATAATTGCTGTGTCTACCAACTAATTTGTCAATCGAAATTTTTTCGTTTTCAATAACCTCTGTGACATTTTTCGCTATCGGAAGCGAATTATAATGACGAGGAATTTGATTTAAATCATATCAAAGACGGAGTACATTGAGATGAAATACTACATTTAGTAAGGAATTATAAGCCAAATAAAATAAAAACATCTGCCCTGAAGATAAGGATAGTGCTGACAGATCAACTTCCAATTCATTGCGTGCCCCCCGTGGCGTTAAAGATAAACAAACGTTAAAGTTTAGATAAACAAAGGATATGCCTTTATCCATTTTTTCAGCAATTCCACTTTTTGTTTAATGAACTTCGAAACATACTTTCACTTTGTAGATCCTTTACATATTAATAAATATATATCAGAAATTCTATTTGACATAATCGAAAGTTCAAGCTTACTTTTATAAAATTGCTCTAACAGTCTGCAAAAACTAATAAGCCGGATCCAATTCGAAGATTAAGGAACAACACAATCTGCAGCATTAACTGAAATGGATAATTAGATAATTTTAAGTTAGCTTATACAGTCCGTTATACATTAAACGCGCACGCGCACAAGCATATTCGCAGCCGTAAAGGTCTTATGCGCACAAACTTTTTTTTGTATGCATAAAGCATACAAAAAAACGTTTGTAGCTTTGAGGTCCGCGTTATGGGGTCCAAATTAATGACTTTTGACTGTAATAGAATAACAATTTATTTTTTTAAATAATTTCTTTCTAATATTTCACAGTGTTTTATGTTCTATGATTGTATTCAGCACATTTGGCTGCTATAATAAGGTGCATTTGAAAATTTAACATTTTTATACATGTTATTTCATAAAAGTAAAAAAATTATATAAACAATCATATAGAATAGAGGTTACTTTTTTTTAAATCATGATTTTAAAAGTATGTGCATGAACTAAGATAAAGGAGCAGTTTTTAAATTCAACATATAAAAAAGTAAAAATTGGAAATGACAATTATTTATTTCAAGTTTAACGAATTTTGTACTAAAAAACTGAGAAGGAATTTAAAAATGAGACTTCAAAATAAGCATTTCAATTGGGGGGGGGGAGAAAAACAGAAATAATAACGATAATTTTCGAATTTAATGGATAAAACTCTTTTTAATCAATTTCATCCTTTCATTAACTAAATTTATATAGGCATTAACATCAGTCAATAAACAATGATGTGATTTCATTATCTATGAAATGTCAAACTAGTTTATATTCATATAAAGCCCTAACTGAGAATGAATGTAGCCACAAACATTCAATAAAAATTAGATTTACACATTAATACGTTTTTCTTTTTACAGTTAGCATATACAAAACAATTACTGTTCCTAACAATTTAAGGAATGAAATATTTTTAAATTACTTACTTCAGTCTCATTAAGGCAAATCACATCAGTTAATGGATAGATGTTTTCATATGATGGAGTAGCTGCAGGAGCAGCATTGACAACTGTTTTTACTGAAAATTAAAAATTACTGTAAAATAATGTATTAAAAAATGCACATAGGAATACAAATGATTCAGAAAATGCAGCTTTGTAACTAAGTAATCTAATTATGAGTAACTCAAATCCTTTGGAAATTCATGAAATAAATTTCAAGGAAAAATTACATTAAAACTTCAAATATTTAGATATTTTTCTCTTTATCAGGTTACTGATTTTTAAAGGAATAATATAATTCAGATATTTATTTAATTTAATAATAACAAGTTATTATTTGCTAGCATGCAATTCAGTTACTTTTACATCTATAATAAGGTAATAGGAAGCAATAGCTATTCATTACATTTTTGTAATGCAACAAATTCTAAAATGAATAAATTAAAAAATTTCAAATTGGTAACAAGTTACATAACAAATGCTGCATACTTTTAGTAAACATTAAAACATAAAAGAAACTTCTTACTAAGCTAAAATTTCAAAATATGATTTACTAAAAGTTTAAAACATAAATTTCCTGATTTTATCCCCTAAGGTAAAAAGAGGAAAAAAAAATATTCTAAAATTTTAGCTTTCAAATAAGAAATATATTAAAAGGAATTTTTTTCTTGCATTTTTGATAAAACATCAACACATTTTTCTTTAAATTATTATTATAATGGTTAAAAAAATTAAAAACAAGATTAAACTTTACATTAACTTATTAAATGGTTCTCTTTACAGTTAATTTATTAAATGGTTATTATGCGGTAAAAGTTTTTGAAGCTTAAACTTTTAATTATATGATATTAAAAGTTAAATACATATAGTACAAACATTAACATTTTTAAGTAATAATAATTAATAATTAAAAATTGGCATATATTTTTATTAATTAGTAGCATAAAAACAATAATATTTTTTGGCAGCTTTTTGGCACTAGTAACTAATAGTCACTTAAAACTTGACTAGACACATATACTAAGGAACAAGAAAATTAAAAATAACAAAAAACACTTTTGTAATTAAATCTTTTATATATCAATAAATATATTATAGTCCTTACTTGGTCTTTATTTGTGCACCTGTTGGGCTTAGATATATACTTCCAATTACAAAAATGTTTCAAATGACAAATATTTATGCTTTGCATTTTTTTATTTAAAAAAAGTGAATTTTGTTAAAATTACAAAATGTAAGTTTTTATGTGTTCTCTCATTTCTTATGTTTAGAAAAAAAAATTAGCATTCATTATAAAAAATAAAATGCAAAACATTTGTTCCTGTGATACAAAATTAAGATATGTACTACATTTTACAGCTGTTGACCATATTTAGGGGCTATACACACATTGAAGAGCAAAATATTACCATTTGTACGTAACTAAAAATGTAACAGTAGTTTAGAAAAAAGGTTTCTAATATTAACAGATTACATGATGAGCATTTGTATGCAGTTGTCAAGAAAAGCACCTTTTTTTTTTTTTTTTTTTTTTTTTTTCCTCCAAAAAAGAAATTTTATTCATATAACTATTGAATTCTTGTTGTAAAACACACCAGCAAACTTCAGTCTTTGCATAGAGCCAAAATGTAATATCATTTGCATGACTTAAAAATATAAAACATTTCTAGTTGAATGAATTTTTTGCATGATTATTAGATAATGATTCTAATGTAATAAAACTTCATGAGAATGCTAATGACATATTTTAGCATTTGAAAACTTACAAATTATTTCTGCGAAATTCTTCAGCATACCAGTTATAAAAAATTATAAATTAAAGAATATTGCAAACTAGTAAATCATAAAAGACCATCTCCAAACATAAAATCAACCATCCCAAACATCCCTTGCTATTTTTAAGAGGGAAAATATCAAGCTTATATTATTTTAATTTATTTGTTAACTGACCCCTCAAAAAAAAATTGGAAATGACATCAGATATCCTAAATTTTGAAATTAAATATGTTGGTTAATTTTTGTCTAGCCACAGTTCAAATTTTCATGTTTTTTTATTTATTTATTTATTTATTTATTTATTTTTTCTTATAATGAGAATAAAAGGACCAGTGAGAACAAAAAAAAAAGATACAAATTTTTGTAATTTTTATAAAATTAATTTTTGCAAATTTAAAAATGCCAAAACATGAAGCTTTGTAACATTTAAAACATTTCTATAAAAAAAAACGTATATATAGCTATGACCAACAGTTGTGAAAATAAAGGTAAAGTAAGAAGGTTTTTGGACATGGTGAATAAATACAAATAAACAAATAGAATAAATATAACTATAATAAGGCACTTAATCTGCAATCTACATAACCTTTCTTCAAAACAATTTATTACATTAAATATGCATTACTGCCATTTGCATTCAGTACTTCAAAACATTTTTTTAGTCTTTGCTAATGAACCTCTTCTTTTGCTTACTATGTCAATGCTTTTCAATTCTTTCTCCTCCCCTCTATAAAATTCTTTCATAAGAGCTATCAACTACTATCACTCAAGTGTGGTACCTGACTCAACTGCCCTATTTTCAAAAAGGTTTCCATAAAAATGAGGATCATGAATTATAAAGTTCAGTATGACTCTGAATAAAGCAGTGTCTGCATATTTTTCTTTCATTGATTCCAATGTCTGCTTCTTTTCATGTGTTAAATATTTTAGTGATAATATATATGCTAAAAATGGGCCAATGACAGCACTAGTCCATATTATGTTTTAAATATGCATGCTTTATCAAGAATTTTTAAGTTATTTTCAAACTTTGAACAGCTTTGGCAATGATGCAGTTATCCTTTTAAATTTTATCCAAAGTGAAATGAAGAGATAGTCTACATTTCATTTGACTCGCATATTAGCAGTTTTAGTTTGAACATTTTTATCTTTTGCATTTTGATTCTCTTCCACAATTTGCATGAGAAATGGCCATTTCTTTATAGTTTTTAAAGAAATAATTGAGTTTCAATATACTTCAGATGATAAATTTAAACCAATTTCACTGTATTCATAAAATTTAAGATGGTTTAGGAAAGCTGGTGATTTCAAAAATATTTTATGACTTAAATAACATGCCCAATAGCATTTGATACATTTAAATCTTTGACCAATAAATTGAGCATATGAGCAGAACCATAAAACTTAAGAGGAAAATTATTTTCTAATTAAATTCTCATTGTTGCATTATTTTCAGTTACAAAACTAAAAATTTTACATTTAAATTTCTTCTCAACCTTTTTAATAATATCAACAGCAAGGATGAGTATATTTTCACTTGTAGGTGATGCTAATGGTGTATAGTAATTGTTTCTAGTTTTATCAACTGCCCAGATTCTTGGTTTGGTCTGGATATTAGCTTTACCATCTATCGTCATGCATACTGTTTGACTAACTAAACATTACTTGATTTCTCTATTTGCTCCTCATATATATCCTTTAATAATTTAACATTTAAATCACATTCTTAATTCAAGATGCAACTTTTTAATTAATCTTATGAAATGAGGATTTCCTACATTATGGAATGACAATTGTAACATAAAAAATGTACTTACTTAATGATCTATTTTCTGTTTCTGAAAAGATGTTGTTTTTACAATATATTTATTTAGACATGCACTATGTATTTTAAATTAGTTTATTCATCATCAGATTTATGCTTGAAGCTAAATGGACATGGAAGTGACACACTTTCTTGTATTAAATTAGCATGGCTTGTTTAAAATATTTTAAACAATTTTACTTAAAACTACTGTTTTAAGGAAAAAGTAGTTGATTCACTAATAACCTTTGCATTTTGCATTTAGTAATTAAAATCATTTTAAAAGTATTACAGGTTATCTTAATCCAGGATTTTAACACATTTTCAATATTTTAAGAAAAAGAAGAATATCTTATTTTAACCAATGACTGCAACAGTTGTATTTCTTAACTATTTTTTATACAATTATAAAAGGATGCTAAAGGATAGTTTTTAAAAAAGAAATATACTAAAGTGTCTTTTTCTGGTCTACAGAAGTGGAATAACAGCAAATTTTATTTGCTTAAAATATCAGTAGAAATCTACTTATATGATAAATGTATCAACTATGCATTAATACAACATGTTAACTCGTGATCTATTCTATATGAAATAATATACTAGTCCATGAAATAATAGTTAGATCTGCTATGATAATGCATTAATTAAATAAATTACATTATGTGAAATGTTATACAAAAATTCTAATTCAAAGAAGTTTTAAAATTGTAGTTAAATATTTTTTTATTCAATCCAGAATAAATAGTAATAATAAAAAATTAAATGAGATTAAACTAGTTTAAGAAATTTGTTTATGTAGCTGAAATCTGTAATAAACTCTTTATTCAAGAAAAATAATATATTTTAGAGTTATTATTCAGACTAGAAAAATTACTTATCAATAACACACACACACAAATAAAAGGGCAAACTAGTGTAATTTCAAGGCATGTAATTAATAAAAAAATGAAAGTGGCTATATTCAGGTCAATACCACATTGTTATTAAAAATAAGGCCTTTTTAAAGCTTACAGCAGTTTTTTTTTTTTTTTTTTTTTTTTTTTTCCCATGGGGTGGGAGAATAAACATTCTTTTACCAAATGGGACCATACTATATACATCTAGTCTTAAATCTAGAAGGAAATTTTAGAAATTAAATTAGCAACATTTATTTCATTTTGCACATATTTTTTTAGTTGTCATAACATAGATTACAAAGACATTAGATCAGAGCACATTTATTTAATACTTTTATGCATGTTCATTTACGAAAGAAATACTATATGCAGAATGACAGTGAGGCTGAAGAAGATTTTTTTTCAATAAATAGGGATCATTTAGAGAATATAAGATTAGACTACTTGCATTCCAGATTTAAATATTCCACATCAAAATATGTGACACCATATTTAGATAATGACAATATTTAGATAATGACCATATTTAGATAATGACACCATGTTTAGATAATGACATATTTAGATAATGACTAGAAAAACTCATCATATAAACTATACATTGTGAATTTTGAAACCTTGAGATGTAAAAATCAATCATTATTGAATATTCAGAATCATTTTTTCTGATAATTCTTCAACTGATGAATAATAAATCAATGAAAAGAAAACATATGTAATTACATCCTAAAATTAAGCAAAAATTAAACCATAGATAGGTGTTGGTTTAGAGAAGAAGAGAAACACGCTAATGTGACAATCAAAATCGTAAAAACAACCTTGTATTTAGCGTAAATATACTGAAACACTCAATCGGTTTCGAGGGCAGCTAAAGGTCCCTCCTCATCAGGAGAAAGAAATACCTAGAAAGAAGAAAATAAAGGGGAAGGAGTCTCAGAAACATGTGGTCCTTCTGAACTTCAAATATTTTTTTTTTTTTTTTTATTTATTTGAAGTTCAAATTTTAAGCGTGAAGGTGCATTTGCCCCTCGCTCCCTATTTTTAACTTCGCTAATTTTTCTTGTCCTTTATGCTTGATCAGATAGCCTGGCTCAGTAAAAGTAGGCGGCCAGTGCAACTCAGATTAAAAATCCAGTTATAACCATGTGCAGTGCTGATAAGGACCATGTGTTTCTGAGACACCTTCCCCTTTATTTTAAAGGTAGTAGTCAACTAACATATATCCCTCTTCTTCAAGAAGCAAAGTTCTCTGCAAAATGCTTTTGTTCTTTGAAGAAGAGGGACTGATGTGGTTTGGTTCACTCAAAATTAATTAAAATATTCAAATACCCCCCCTCCCCCCCCCGAAAAAAAAACCCTGAAGGCTAAATTTTTGCCTAATTTTACTGCTGAGTCTGATGTCAGTTTCTTTCTTATATAGCAGTTTAATATTTTCAAGCAAAGAAAGTACACAGTATATAATAAAAATTTTTATACAGGTCTAGAATATCTAATTGTTTTTTCCTATTCATAAAACTAATTTTCTTTCCTGAAAATATCCTAGCCTTAAAGATAAAATTAAACATATATTAAAGACTAATATAAATAACAGTTTAATGATAAACCATGTGAATAGTCTATAGATGATGCTTTCATGAACTTTTACAAAGAAAATTTGTTCATATTTACTTTGCACTCTGGTAAGAATCACAAAAACAAGTACAGAACTGAGATTAAATCCAGAAACTACCTGTCTTCACAAATTTTAAACATTTAGCCACTGTATAAAGATAACTATTAATTTGGTAAAGTAGAATCATTAATTCTAAATGCAGATAGTCTTTATGTTCTTTGACATAGCAAAATAACCTAACCTTCATATTAAATATTTTACACTATTTTGATTTTAAACACACATGGAAATTATTTCAAAGATCTCACAGAAGTGACTGGACAAAAATAATGTCAAATAATTTACACATAGTAATTGAAATAATAAAATGTCTTTTTTTTTTTTTTAAATCCATATTTACCTTGCCCTTTTTTTCGTCATTAAATAATTATTCTAAAATAAATGAGCTTAAAAGTTGTCACAAAAGTTTTCGCATACTGGGGATTGGGGGAGAGGGGCATCCATTATAAATACAGTAAACAATGTTAAATGTATGACATTATTTTGTTACTTTGCATCAAGTAACAGGCAGTCTGAATAATCATCTTCTTGAATTCTTCAATTAAATTTTCTTGCTGTTTCAGCATTCTGTTATGACAGCATCAATAAAATGTATGTGATTAGAAATTCATAAGCATTTGCAAAAACGAAGAGATACATCTACTATTAGAAAAGTAGATGAAATAATTCAGTCTAAGTATTTTAAAGTGAAATTAATTTAAAATTTTAATTTAGTGAAATTTAATGGCAGCAGGAAAGTATGGATTTTTTTAATCACTGTCAGAAATGATTCTGAAAATGGTATTGAAGAACAAAAAAAATCAATAACAATTTATTTAACTCAGAACTCTTACAATACGAGTGGGTAGGTAGGACTAAATAAAATGTTCAGTATATGACTGATGTCAAAAGATTTTTGGCACTTCTTTATTATAGTGACCTTCGAGGTTGAATTGTCAATCAACTGAGATATCTTGCCAAAATCTGGCTGCTTGTTCTTAGCATGTGATTATATACTAGCACTGGCTGCATATTTTTATACCTTGCCATGTAATTGTATATTAGCATTGTGTTGCAAGTTTGCTTTCACCACATGTTCTTATATTATTCATGTTTGATGAGGTGTTCAAATTAGTGTTGTTGCTTTCTTTGTTTATTGCTTTCTTTGTGAATATGATGCTGACAATCTTTAATTTACCAAGTAATGAAGTGGATGCCATATCATTTTTTCAAGAAAGAGGTCTTTTACATGACAAATAAATATGTAAAAATAGCCACAACATGAAACTTTATGTTAATAATGAAACCATTTGGAGGTGCATTGTTAAAAATTGCAAAAGAACAAGAGCCTCCATGTCAGAAATTTGTTCAGCAATTCCAGAATATTGTTCATCAATGCTATTAGACTTATGCATTCTTGGGCAGAAGAGTTTACGTCCACGAAATGGCATAACAAACAGCTTAATATGTGTGAAAGTGCTGCAATTGACTGGAACAATTACATTCAATAAAATAATAATGATGATGATAAGGATTCTTAAAAGTAATTCTTAGAAAATTACATGTGAGTATTATTGATATCATTATATATTGTGTTGTTTATTTTTATATTTGCACTTCACAAGCTTGGTGAAGTTATAGCTGAGATTGTGGCGCAAATATAAAATTGCCAAATATGATTAGGGGCTGCTAAATTCAGTTATCATCAAGTACTAGTTCCAAAGTATGTAAAACATGCATCTCCAAATACATGACAACAATAAATCTACAATCTACATAACAACAATAAACTATAAACATCTCCACATAATTTGCATTGAAATTTCATCAAATGATTTTTTACAATATTAGGACTGAAAAAGGTGTATTAATTTATTCAAAGTGCTTGAGTCTACTTTACTAAGGATTCTTTCAGAAAAGATGCAAACTAGGATTCTTCTCTTGTATGCCTTCAAGTATGACAGTCACCTAATGCATAACTTCGTAGAGAATATAGTACAGAGGACTGCCTTGTATTCATGTTACATTTTCTATACTAGATAGCTTGGTTAGTCACCGGATAGCATACATAATGTGAACACCAGCATTCAGTAAAATTATTTATTTGGCTTCTAGTAGTCTTTCAGACAACAACCTACTGCATCGCAAATGATAAATACTCATACAATGAGTTTTCTTTCTTTCTTTCTTTTGGATGCACACTTTTAAAATAATTCTACTTTAATTAAACTTAGGAGATAATATAATCAATTAATCAATACTGTTTAGGAAATAAAATTATAATTTATATATATATATATATATTATTTTTTTATTTTTGGTAGTCATTTTCAGCTTAAAGTTACTCCAAATTGGGGGAGGGAGAGCAGTTAAAACTTCAGATTACATTATAACTCCATAAACTAGAGTGCATGCATATATATGGCTGAGTGCATATATTGGTGTGTGTATACACATGCTTATATACATTCTTACATGAACATATACGTACATATATACATGCATACATGAACACATACATCCATTACATTTCTGAACCCAGTCCCAATAACAGAACAGTACCATATTTTGTTTCTCTTTTTAAATAAAAATATCTACTATTCAGAAAATTACAAATAAAAAAATTTAATTCAAGAAGAATTTTAATTCCATAGAAATTTAGTAATTGGTTAGAGACTCTTTATTTACAACTTATAAAGCAACACTTATAGCAAAATTTTATTAAGGTAAAATAAATTTATAAATGATTCACTTTTTCATATTGATGAGAAATTCACATTTCTAATACTATAACAAAATAAACAAAAGACCTTGTAGTACATCACCTTATTGGCAACATCAGTTATCTCATATTTTTGAAACTCTTTGTAATAGAAAGCTAACTGAAAATAATAATACCTCAATGTATTGGTAAGAAATGCATATAATATCAAAAGTAGTTTACTAAATTTCAGTTTTCATTTAATTTAAGTCACATTTGAAAACTTTGATTCTGGTTGAATAGTTATTGATTTTAACTACAGACTTGCTTTTCACTAAAAATAATAAATTAATAACCATTATATTTTCTGGCCAGTGTGAGTGCTGCTGTCAAAGAATCTAATGGGCATTCATAGGTGCATAACATAACCTTGGACTCTTTTATTATACTTTCAGCTGCTTCAATATCTTGTGGTGTTAATTCCATAATGGCCCCAGGTACATAAATGATACTATTTTGACCTATTGAAATAAAAATACATTTCAGTAATACTTCAGCATACTGCATGTTAAAATTCAGATATAATTCTTAGGATATACCTGCATCTGAGACAGAAATGGCAGCAGTGCTAGTAAAAGATGTTTTTGGATATGTTCACAAAATCTTTCAAAAAGAAAAGAAAAAAAAATTGCATTAGTTATATTCCATTATTAGGTCAAAATGAAATTAGAATCTTTTAGAATACGATATTAAAATACATTCAACTATAAATTCTGTAATAAAGTGTTTAATCATGCCACATATGCTACTTGAAAAGCTTGCTTGATGGTGCTTGGCAGCAGTGCTAGTAAAAGATGTTTTTGATATGTTCACAAAATCTTTCAAAAAGAAAAGAAAAAAAAATTGCATTAGTTATATTCCATTATTAGGTCAAAATGAAATTAGAATCTTTTAGAATACGATATTAAAATACATTCAACTATAAATTCTGTAATAAAGTGTTTAATCATGCCACATATGCTACTTGAAAAGCTTGCTTGATATTTAATAAATAGCAATATTTAAACTTTACTGGCTTTTTTTTAATCCACTTAAAATATCTGTAAAAATCACTTAGGATAATACAGCGTAATGGCTCTGTGATATAATATATTTTAAGGTACACTGATGCACACTTGAAAGATAGAGTCATATGTCACGATTGATATTTATATAAAAATATTTTATTTCTGTTACACTTGATTGTATACACATCAATTTCTTTTATTATTTATTTGTAGTTCATTAGTGAGATGTTTAGTGTATTTTTATATCACAAAATTACAGTTAATCTTGAATGTTTGCTTGGTGTCAAAAGCAATCTAGTCTTCGTGTCTTCCGTTGTTGTTGTTGCTAATGCTCATTTGTCTGACGTAATCAGCCCAAGCCCAAGAAATTTCTCATGGCAAGGAGCACTAGAATATGCCTGCCGTTGGCAATAGCCTTGAGTACCATTCAGGTGACAGTGCAATTTAGCTTAGTTCTGCCCCTAATTTTGAAGGACAGCACCGCGGGGACCAAGGGTCAGGTCAAGGACCAAGACCACAGGTCCAAGGGTCTCCCACCCCTCTTCCCTTCCACCAAACCACACGAGAGGACTTTCGGCTCGCCTCATATTTAGAGTGCCACCATGCTGCATCGACACTATTACATTTACAAACATCCATGCCTTCTCCGGGATTCGAACCCGGCCCCTTCAGTACGGCAGTCAGCGATGCTATACCGGTTAGGCGACACGTCTTCTTATTGGTGGAAGTGAAACTGCTTTCACTTTGTACCTTTCCATCACATTATAGAATAGGCTTTGATTAAAGCAAATTTTGCTGTATATATATCAGCAATAATGAATATTCAAAGTATAAGAAAAGCTTTTTTAGATACATACTATTTTCAATACTATAAAAATTGGTTTAAAACATATGTCAGTGGAAGTACTTTTGAAAATTCACTTAAAGGTTTTGAAAACAGCAAAGAATCAAATTATATAAAATGTTTTATTTTTACAAAATATAGTATTTATATGGATATTAAGAATGTTCTCATTACATATGGTAAAATGCCTCTACCAAAATACCCAAAAGAAATGTATCTACTTTATGATGAAGTCTCAACAATATTAACTATCACAAATGCAATATATCTACAAATGACTATCTAAGTACTTTTTTAGCAAGAAATAATAGTACTTGCATATTATGCCATTGATTGTGAAACTGTAACCAAGCACCGTGATTTAGCACCAGCTACAGATAGGCATGGCTCACAACACTTTCATAACACATCTGCTTTCATTCGACGTAATCAAGATTAATTTTTCGAAAGCCACCTTTGGTTTTTTTAACAAGGATATAAATTTACTGTTGTTGCATTTTTTCTCGCCTTTTGAAAAAATTAGTTTGAGCCCAAATGTCACTTTTCACGGGGCAAGAAAAATAGCATCTATTGAATGGAGAAAAGAATAGCTGAAGATGGCTGACAAAACAGTTACAGATTGGAACACTCACTTATGGGAAGTTTGTACTCATAGCATTCTAAACAGAGCTTCTAGTAATGTCAGAGGGTCTAACAAAATAGTAGAAATCAACAAAAGCCCTTTTACGAAGTGGGTTGAATACTTCTTCAACAATGGCTATTTAATGGATTGTGCAGAGAGACTAATTAATGTTTTAATGTAAGATTTGCAGATAGAAGTGCGGCTCAGAATTCTGCAGGAACAGTTGGTGAATCTTTTATTTTAAGAGTTGTGAATAGAAGTGTGACTCGGAATTCTACAGGAACAACTGGTGCAACTTTGGCAAGAACTCCTCCAACATTTGTGGTTCAACTGCATCCAACTTTCCAACAACAGTTGGAGTGAATAAATTAAACTGTTTATGAACAGATAACTATGCATATGATATAATCTATATTGATTCTGAAAAACAAAACAAATACACTGAATACAAACATTTACTAATTGTCTTTCAAAGTTTTCTGCTTTGACACAGATATAATTACATTTTCAAACTTAATTTGTTCATCCTAAATTTCTTCTAAGTTTTGACCTGAAATGATTCTTAACACTTTTACATTGCTCAATTATTGTATAAGAACATAAGGCTTTGTGTGATGTAAATCCCTAATATATTTTGACTTCACAAAGTATTCAAAGGTATTCTACAACTAGCACAATATTCAAAATGTAACTTAAAAGAAAAGAAAAATAATTTGTACCACAATGGATATTATTTTCTTTAAGATTTTGCAAATATTCATGTCCAAAACTATCATCACCTAACTAAAAAAAGGAAAAAAAAAAAAAAAGAACCATAAAAAGTTATAAATCATAAATGTTCACAAAAAAAAAAAAAACAAAAAAAAAAAAAAAAAAAAAAAAACCACAAAGTTATGAAAGCATAAAAAATAAAAATTTCAACATGCTATATTTCATAAAACTGTATTTAAGAATGGAATTTAATAATTAATAATCTAAAGTTCATTTGGTGCTTATATCTTATTCCAATTGCTAAATGGCAAAACAACAGTGGGCAATAAAACAGTAATAGATTGCATTAATTACCTGCCCGAACTTTGTATTCTAGTGCTCTAAACACAACTTCCAATGAAATCAGAAAGCCTAGCAAAAGAGTAGAAATCCATGAAGTGCAAAAATGAAACAGGTCAAATACTTCCAGTGCAATAGAGACTGATGAATGTTTTATTGTAAAAATTGCAGATAAAAGTACAGCTCAGAGTTTCTCAAGAATGGTTAGTGCAACTTTGGTGGGCTGCCAGCCAGTTTTCATGGTTCAGTGGCAGAAAACCTTCATGGTTGATGGGAAATATATAAGTACTCTGCAATCTATCTAATCCTAAATCGTTGGATTTTTAATGAAACAGTAATGTTCATAGTAACAACAGAAAATAAGACAAAGTTGTTACACCATTCCGTTTGAAGTTTTTAAAACCTTTTATATATCTGTAGAATAATAAATTAATCTACAAGTATATACAAGATTTACTGCAGTAAAATTAAAGAGTTTTTACATTTATTACCTTATTTATCATTGCTAAATACTTTCATTTTCAAGGGTTTTATTTTAAACAGCTTTGGAAAAAATGTATTCATAACTTTCTTTTGAATAGACTAAACTTATCTACTGAAATCCAGAAAAAGAATTTTATATTTAAGCTGTAAAACAGTTATAAGTATAAAGTACCAATTCTTGCAGATAAGTCAAATCTAAGAAATTACTCCTAGTATAATGCAATATTTCATCTGTAACATTTCACAAATTAAACTAGTAAATAATTTTTGGTTCCTATACATCATCAATCATGATTGTTGTCAACCAACATGATTTAGTGCCAATTATGAATACGAAATTATATCACAAATTTATATTACAACAAAGAAAATTATCAGCAGTTTTCAGGCAAAATGAAAAAACAGTAAATATGCAATAAAAATATGGAAATAGCTTTCATTGTCAAGATGACTATTCACCTTGCTTCTATCATGTCTCTACAAAAAGTATTATCTGTAAGGATATTAACTGTAAGGAAGTTCCAAAGTGAATTTTAACCAAATGAATTTAATTTTCCCAGATTGTCTTAATAAAAGTAATATACAAATTTAGATAATTATTTAATTTATTAATATGGCTTTCTAAAGATGAAAGGGGAGGAACACAGTCTGAAACATATAATTTTCATAATAATAAATTAATGTAAAAATGATTACTTCATAATAATTTTTGTCATTCTAATAAATAGTTGACTTATACAACAAGGCATTTATGCTATTTACTAATTACATTGCATATATTCATATCCTCATATTAAATAAAAAGAACCAAGTAGGATCCGAAACCTGATAAGGCTTATGAAAAAATGATTAAATAGCAAGCAAATGTTAATTTTTTATATAATTTTCAAAATTTTACATCTTATAATATATTAGAATAAAAATTATTTTTGTTTAAAATCAGTTTATAAAGAATTAAATTATATTCAAAAACAATTTATAACAGTTAAAAATGTGAGGGGGAAAATAAGAAAATAATAACCTTGAAAATAATCAGAATTAAAATATATTCACAAGAAAATTTATAACAGTTAAAAATGTGAAAAATAAAATTTGACACTTCTCCTGTCAGGAAAGTTTATACGATTACATAAGTTATAATTATTGACCTTAATATAAGCCTGAATATAGTTTACTTGAATGTGTTTTAACCTTAGCTATGATTGCAGTAGAAGCTCCAAGTTTTTTTGCCATTACACATTGATTTGCTCCTTTTCCTCCAAAACCTTTAGAAAAATGACTTCCAGCAAGAGTTTCTCCAGGTTTTGGAAATCTTTTGGCATAGCTGGGGGGTAAAAGGAGCGTCATATTACGCAGTGGTTTATTAAAAACTACCAACTACAAAAGTATGCAATTCACAAGTTAGAAAATCACCCTCTATCAATATTTACAATTAACACTTAATGCAGAAACATACATGACAAATAATTTTAATGCAGAAACATACATGACCAATAATTTTATTAAACTAGATAAAAGTATTTTTTTTTTTTACAAATAACAGTTATATTCGCCTAACTGTGGACTCTTCATATAAACATGTATCAATCTTAATACAACACCTTATTAAATCTACTATGCAGCCTCCAACAACAACAATGTCAGCCATTTTTAAAATAATAAATTTAGATTATCTCAAAATATTGAATCCGATAGCACAGGGTACGAAGAGCAAGAACTGTCAATGACTCAAGTAAGAGCGGGTTATCAAAACAAAGATTGCAAGAGCAGACGATTGGTTGAATTTGAATATTTCTTCACTTCATTTCAATGATAAACTTCATCTTGAAAGTTTATAAAGGCTATTTAAGTAAAAATAGCAATTACAATCTAAAGAAGGTGGACCAAGTTCTACCGATATCTATCAAGGTCTACAGAAGAACAGACCCACTGGCATTTGTGTTAGTAAAGCTTGGCCTTGACTTGCTTTATCTTATGCCTAACGCTAGTGAGATATTTTTTAATTTATGTTTTTGTTCTAAAATGTTTTGTACTTCACGGAAGATAAAAAAGATCATTGTGAATTCAAGTTTATTAGAAAAGTTGGTTTTAGAATCAGAGCCGTAGCTAGCTAGGGTTTTCCGCGCCTGAGGACAGCTGAAGAAATCGCGCCCCTTTGTATGTGATAAGAGTGAAAATATTTAATTCGAAAATTTCGTTTCATCAGTTTGGCGTTCTCTGATTGCTGCGCCCATTAACAGATGTCCAAATTTGTCTCTCTATCTATGAGAAAGTGTAGTGTACCTAAACGCCGATCAAGTTACGATGGTGCTAAGGAACGTGAGTCTACTTTTAAATTTCCATCTGCTCCTTTACTTTCTCAGGAATGGGATAACTATTTGCTTTGATTTGGCACTTTTGCTAACATCTAACGCACCTTATTGTAAGAGCTTGAGGGGAACTTGAAAAAATTTCCATTTGTATGGGTAAAACAGATGAAATATGTTTATATATCCTTTTACTTTTAACTAAGGAGTGCAGGATTAAATGAAAAAGTAAAGTATCCGAAGAAAAATTAATTAAAATTTTTTTAAAAAAATTCTGAAAGCTTTCAAATTTTATATTACACCCAAAGGAGCGTTTTTCTCATTTACACATACATACACGTTTTGAGAGCATTTCGGCTAACGCCCCTTATGGGCTAAAAATATTTATAATCAGCACATTTTTAGAATTTCCGATAGACAGTCTCGCGCCCTGGAAATAAAAATATTTTATTCCATACAGTGTGGGGGCATTCCTCGCTTCGAAATTCTTGAGTTCCTTTAAAGTTTAAAAAATATAAAATAGATAATAAAACGAATTCAAGATTCGGGCAGCCAGGTGTCCGTATTCGTGTGGAGGACTACGTTATTCCAAATTTGATTGCTCTAGGTATCGTTATTTTTCGCAACGAAAGAATCATACATACATTCATGCAGATTCTTCATTATTTAATTTCTTTAAATACAGTATGCAACGATAATATTTCGTGGCAACAATTTGGAAAGGTGTTACAACCATTTATACTGATTCAAACCAATTACTGATTCAAAACTAATAGCCCTTCTGGGCTAACTTCCCTTTGGGCTAAAAAAACATGAATGAAACATAAAAACGTTTCTTGTTGTCACCGGTGACACTACGCCAAAAAAAATGTGATCTCTGTCTTGCGTATCATGTACTCATGACATAATTCACTTCTTTGACAAAATCTTATTTTTTTCCGTGTTTGATTTGAGTTAGAGAAGGCCTTCAAAGTTACTGTGTTAGAGAATGCGAGAGAAAATTTTTTTAATTTTGAGATGTTCTTTTCTGCCATACTACTGGTAATAACACTGCAACACCACGGTACTCGGGTCGGGATCCAAACCTTATGGAGAAATAATCCTTGTGAGAATGTCAACAATGAATTCATATTAATACATAAAAGATGCAAATAGCCGCCCAGCCTGTTAGTGGTTAATGACTCTGACTGCCATAACGGCCCAGGTTCGAATCCCAAAGAAGTCATGAATGCTTATAACTGTATAGTGTCTATGCGGCATCGGAGCACTCTAAACATGACACGAGAAGAAAGTCCTTTCTAGAAGTTGGTGCTGCAGGAAGAGGGGGCAGACCCTTGCACTCGTCGCCTCGGGGTGCCCTCAATCAAAATTGGGGTGGGTTTGAGCAAATTCGTGCAGTCACCTGTATGGTGCTCAGTGCTCTTGCCAATGACAGGCGCAATTTTGCTCTTCTTACCACGAGGAATTTCGTGGTCTTGTTTTGATTTTATTCTCAGAGAAATAAGTCACAACAACAAGATGCAAAGATGTTTCCCGAAATCAAACAGGGGGGAAAAAAACAAGATTTTGTCAAAAAAGTGAATTATGTCATGAGTGCATGATACGCAAGACAGAAATCGCATTTCTTTGGCGTAGTGTCACTGGTGACAACAAGAAACGTTATTATGTTTCATTCACGTTTTTTCATGTTCGAAATAAGCATAAGGCTGCTCAAAATTGTTGAAAGATCTAGGCTGCGCTTCGAAGTAAATTTTGACCGAAAATTTCTTCAAACATGGAAAATAGTGTGAATAGTTTATGAACTGAAATGGGACTTCTGTAGTTTCTGCTATTCTTCCAGTTATGTTACGTATTAAATCAAAGATGAAGTAATCCGAAAACATGTTATTTATCTCTTTAGAAATTTTTAAGAAATCGGTAAATGTATTGGAAATATTTTCTGAATTTAAATGCTATTTCTTAGGCTTAGGATAGTTTTTAAGGCCTCTATATTTAGTAGAAGTTTGCTCATTTTATGCTTTATTTTAAGCAGTCTTTTCCTCTGAAATTTTTATCTGTTTCTCCTTCAGAGTATTCGGAAATGCTCTGGCCCTTATGCTTGATTCTGCTTCGTGGTTCTTATTTTGAAGCCTTTTCTTCATATTTAATGAATTTCGGGGGCATAATGTAAAATTTGTCGCATGTCCTAAATTACACTTATAGTATTTTAAATTTTTTATCCATTAAGCTTCACAGTGAGATCTTTTGAGGTCGCAAGCACATTTAAAGCACCTCGTCATGAATATACAGTGGAACCTCGAGATATGAGTTTAATGATGGACTGTCGCCAATAGAGCGATAAACATTATGAACTGGCAACCCTGCAAAAGAGTTGACTGTGTAACTCTTTTATTCTTTACACTTACTTTTCTCACTCCTTCAGGAAAGGACAGTGATATGACACTCTTTATTATACAACTCTCATTTCAATATATATTTGTGGCCCTAACAAATCTTAATCTATTTTCATGTAAATAAAAATGTGTTTTGTGATATTACAATTTCAGTCTACAACCTCTTGGATTACACGTTAATTAGCTATCATCTTGCTTGAAACTGCGCTGGATACAAGGTAAGAGGAAATATTTTGGTCTCTACTTTTATTAATTTTTTGCGAAATTTCGAGGCTATAAAAATGTTTTACAACATTTAATTGGTTCCAACACTGAGATCGTATAGCGAATTTCTCGCATCTAGAAGCAATAAATATTTCTCGTTAATCCACACCAACATCAGCTTCTCAACATCTTCTAGGAGTTTTGGACGGTGCTTGGAAATAACGGTAACTCCTTATGCCACGTCTAGTTTCTTAATTTCTTCCTTCTTCTTCAGAATAGTGTAAATCGTCGATGTCGACCGGCCATAAGTTTTATCACTCTTACACCACGCTTATATTTATCTATGACTTCTATCTTAATTTCAACGGTTATGGCTTCCTTTTTCTTTGCAGCACTATCTAAGGAAACCCTCTTCTTGCGAGGCATCGTGAAATTATTTTCACGTTAAGTGTGAAAAAACAATTAACTTACAACAATTAACTTACCTTGCTTCAAAATACTCTAAAAGATTCTACACACATCAACAAAGATATGAAAACATAATAAAGCTTGAATATTATAAACTAGAAAACCCGGCGGTCATACGAAATGACCGATGTTCTAGATATTATAAATTGTAATTAAAATGATTTGTGCAAAGGTGTTTGCTATTCAAACTGAATTCCGCCCCTTTGCTTACTGCCTCACGGGTTTTTCCCCTTCGTCTTGAGTAATTGCTTAAAATAGAATGCAATGAAGAAAACCACTGGCGGTACATTTCTTAAGAGCCACCGCTAGCTCAATAAATAAAGGTGATTTAAATAATAAAACGTTAATTCACATCTCAAAGATCTCTTTGTACACAACATTTCTTGTGTAGATCTTTCCATCATTTTTAAGCTCGCCTTGCAGAGGACCATCCATTATTTTTAATTTTACGTCCGTTCTTTCACGAACTCTTGAACAGGCAACAGAAAGTTGACCGTGTCCAAATGCAGGCTCAGCTAAAAAAATGCCAACACGCTTAAGCGTTTGGCACTTAGACTTATCGATGGTCATAGCAAATCAAGTTTTACAGGAAATTGTCTACGCCTCAATTGAAATGGCAACCCAGTGCCCTGGCAATTTCCCCCCACTGGCTAGTACAGTTACGTAAGCAACCAATAAACTATCGGCGACAAAAAGACACTTAAGCCGCATATATATATGGGTTGAAGTAACATCATCTCCTCCTTTGTCCTTTCTCTGAATTGTCATGAATCCATTCGGATTTTCTTCATCTTGTCAAGTTCCGTTCACCTACCAGATGCCTTTGGCCTTGTTCCTTTTGGTATTCCTCTCACTTTTCCTTTCTCCGTTTTCTCTTCCGAGATGTCTTCCATTTCCAGAATTCATTATGCCATGTGCCCTTGGGCTTAATTTAAGGAACCGGCAACGTTGCGCCTGATATAGCTCGGTAATATAGATGCGTCTAAGTCATTTCCTCCGAAACGGCTGGCTCCCGGACTTAGCGAAGCACACCGTTGGATTCCGCAGGTCCGTGACACGCCATTTTTAACACTCGCGTCTTCGTGGGACTTTAATTAGCCGAAATATTAATTTAAAACTAATTTCCCCCTAAGTTTTCCCTACATTTTCCACTTCTTTCTAGGGGTTTCCCTATTCGAACTTGGCTACGTGCCAAATTCTTTTTTTTCTCGAATATTTACGGAACGGCACCGAGTGTAAAATCGAGACGCATATCCTCGGATTCCAAAAAATCCTCCGAATACATCGATACCGTTCTCATCTTCGTACGACTTTAATCGGCCGAGATATTAATTAAAAACTGCGGAAACGTTAACTTCTGCGCTCATTTTTTCGAGTGGCAATAATAAACT